ATCTATTCGCAAATACAACTGGTGCATCAGATAAGAGTTCAACAGATGTTTTATAATTCTGGCAATCTGCGTTTGCGAACATTTAATCCGTAACTGTGAAATACAGGGTCTAAGTTGACGACTACAGAAAAAACAAGTGAGGAACAAAGCTAGCATAAAATATTTCTCTTCCTAGTGCCCTTATAAATACTTTCTCTCTATGTCACATTGTTGTGATGCGTAAATTTGTTCTAAGTTTACGGAAGATTAACTTCTTCTTATTTTACGAGTTTTATCATTTTGATCTACGAACGATAAAAGTTAATCCGTAATATTTAAAATCACGCATGCGTTCGAATAGAACAAGAAGGCGCTTCCCGCTCTGTCGAGAATAATATTCTCACAATTAATTTATTCTTTCCTGCTTTTAAAATTGGATAAAATTTAACATATTGGCAGTGATTTTGTTGGAGAGCTCTATGTTTTTATTATATGAGGATATGAATTTAGCCGCTTTTTCAAGCAAAAAAAAATATTCTGCAACATTTTGTTCGGAAAACGCTACGTAAACAGATGACATCAAATTAAATACTAAATTCGGATGAGAATTTAGATGAACTCTCCTTCTCTTCTGAAATACAGCTGTGTGTTGAATATTGAGTGTAGGTAGATGGGCCTATATGTAATAAACTAAAAAATTTGATTCGGTAAATGTCAATCCATAAATAGGTAACAAATAATGGAAATAAATAGCTAACAATTTCAAAGTGAACAATGTCAACACTGTACGGAAAAAAAAAGTTATCTCCAGCGCGCGAGACTGTGTATCGGAAATTCTAAAGATATGCTTTTTATTTTTTAAAATTTTGTGATATTGCTGTTGAATTCAGTTTTATGGTTTAAATGCGAAGAACTTGATATTTAATAAATAAATGTAACACACAAAACGTTAAATAAAAGCTTCTTTGAGTGTAATATAAAATCTGAAATCTTTCATTTATTATTTGCTCATTTCATTATTATTTGCTCTTAATTATTTCTGGTAAATCAATATAAGATAATCGATAAAGGGGATCTATTTTTTAATTCTTAAGTCTAAGTATTCAATTTCTGTAAGTGTCCATTCTGATCCTTTTGAAATAAATTCATCTGATTCATCAATCAGTTTATCAATAGCGTAGTCATAAAAAGGCGTTAACATCTTTTGATTTCAGCATTATTTCATTGGTTGTTTTAAACGAATGTTCTTAAAATTCATCTCTAATATTTTATACATACAAAACCGTTGTTAGTTTACATTTACTTCTTTATCTTTTACACTATCTGAAATTTTTCCAATCACAATACTTCTTTTACTTTCTAAATATTAAAGAGGGGTCATAATGTTATTTTTCTTTTTAATTCCCATGTTTCTAATTTTGATTTATAAGCGGTTTCAATTAGTTCAATTTTTTCATCAGTATGAATGCTATATCTGTGACTTAGACTTCGCTGATGATAACTTTCATGTGATTTTTTATAATATTTACCATATTGATCACATTTAATTTGTGTTTTAATAATTTTTTTGTGAAAAGGAAACATTTCATTTAACTCTCGTTTTTGAATTTGATCAGTTATATGATTAATCAAATCAACTCCTATAAGCCTTACATAATCATCTACAGCATGCTCTATACAATAATTACGTATTACCGTTTTTGATTTTAATGTGTCTTCAAAAGATCTTTTCATTTTAATTATATGATAAATAAAATTAGCTTTTTTAAGCTTTGAATAATTATGGATATCTTTAGCTGTACAATAAACATGGGGGAGTTGTTTCACTATCTTATTTTTGAACTCCATTTATATATTTTTCAGAGCGTAAATTCCTTAACTGGCAACTGCTTCTAAAATGTCTTTGTGTATATAAGAAATATTTTTCCTTTATTCACATTCAGGTTTTACGTATATAATTATAAAGTCACAAGTTTTACAATTCGAATGATAATATTTACAGGCTTGATATAAATTAACTACAGTTTTCATATTTTTACAAGTTTAACATTTCATAATCTCCACTTAACATTTCATGATCTCCACTTACAGATATAAAATATAAAAAATAGGACGGCTTTGCACTATGCGAACAAGCAACCTTTAATTAAATTTCCACAATTTAAGGATCTTCCCCCTAGACCAGTACTTTCGAGAACATTCCAGCCTATTACGTAACCGCTTCTATAAATAGAGAACTCGCGCCATTTTGCGTCCGAGAGACCGCTTTGTCTTTCTGCTGCTCAGATCAGTGCTGCTATATCTGTGCGTAAGGACAGAATAAAAGACTCGTTTCCTCCAAAAAAATTATAAAACTACTTTAAAATGAACTCTGAAGAGAATTTTTCGTGGCGTCTGTACGAACGTATGTACGTACGTACGCACGCATCTCGCATAACTCAAAAACGAGTAGCCTCGGAACGTTGAAAATTTGCATATAGGACTGCTATAACATGTAGATGTGCACCTCGTATTTTGTTTGCAGTCGGCCGCCACCAAACGTATATAAATATATTATATATATATCCACTCTGTTACCCGGGCTGAGTGATCTCAGTTCTTTACTCTTATATGTTTGTAAATGTATTATTTTTTGCTTTAAAAATGATTGAATTATGTTTTTTTATCTTGGTTAAGGATTTTATGCCTTTAGTAAATCTGTATGCAATATTTTTAGAATTATCAACAATTTTAAAGTTGTTTAAGTGCCGCTAAGCCTTTTTACTTCCTTGTACGAAGTAAAAAAGAAGTATTGTAATCGCGAAAACTTTCAGGCAGCATATTTCAACGAAAATATCGATTTTGACCGCTATCGAATGAAATTTAACGATGTTTTTGCTTGATAAATGTACGTAAGGACAGAATAAAAGACTCATTTCCTCCAAAAAAAAAAAAAATAATAAAAATGCTTTAAAAAAAATTCTGAAGAGAATTTTTCGTGGCGTCTGTACGAACGTATGTACGTAGGTACGTACGTATCTGCATAACTCAAAAACGAGTAACCAGAACGTTGAAATTTTGTATAGGACTGCTATAACATGTAGATGTTGCACCTCGTATTTTGGTTGCAATCGGCCGCACCAAACGTTATAAAATAATTTATATATATATCCCACTCTGTTCCCGGCTGTGATCTCAGGTTTCTTTACTCTTATATGTTTGTAAATTGTACTTTTTTGTTTTGTAAAAAATGTTTGAGTATGTTGTTTTATCTTCCGGTTAAGGATTTTATGCCTTTAGTAAATCTGTATGCAATATTTTTAGAATTATCAACAATTTTAAGTTGGTTAAGTCCTAAATCCTTTTGACCCGTTGTTTTATTTGAAACAGCAGACTAGTGGATTTGTTGCCAATCTAGAGAAACTTCGCACAACAAAGATACCGCATTCATTATTATTGCAATTAAATCATGCTTAATCCTTTCTGGAATTTTTTCGAGGAAATAAGTGTTTAAGATTTACTTCGTATTTGTATAGGTATTTGATTTTTAGTATTTTTGCCTTCTCCGAAGTGAACTGAATTAATTGAATGAGAAATACTCAATTGTCTGTGAAAAACTGTTCTTTTTTGTTTGTTTGCTTAATTTCTCTTATACATCGTTCTAGCTTTATTATAGTATTTGAATAGAACAGTGGCAACGATTAGATAATCTATTCTTGAAATGATATAAATTTTTGGCATTATGAGTTATAATATGACGAAATAATACTGTTAAGTGAATCTTGCGCCAGAGTGTCACTATGGTAAACAAATACTAGAGTGAATTTTAAGAAGCATTTATTCTATTGTGGTTTGATGCGGTTGTCGGCGAAGTAGATTTAATTCAATCCCTAAATTTAAATGAAATGCAAGAAAAAATGCGTTAATTAATATTCCGTACAAGAAAGTCATGTGGTGTACACATCAGATTTTTTTGTTAGAATGCTATGACGCATTGAATTTAATCTTATTTAATAAGGAATGATAATATCCCTTTGAATTGAATAAAGATGTGGAATCAAAACAATTAACTTCTGTATCGTCCTTGCATTGCAAAGCTTCACTCATGTGCCTGACTGCCAAAATATTACAGCTTATTAATTAGTCGACAGGATTCGAACCTCTGCAAAATATAATTTTTGATAAAGACATAATAAGCTAAAAAAATAAGAATTTAAAAAAACGTTAACGAAGGATATGCCTTCATTCTAAATATTCAGTTTTTAAATAGACTGAATAGTTATTTATTAATCTGTTTTAGTTTCATATCCAAACGCTCACCAACTTTAACTTTTTCTAAAACAAAAGCTTCTTTTGGAAATTCTATATACTACATACAAATGCAATATTATTTATCGTTATCATAATAAATGTATCGTCTGGTTAAAAAAATTCTATAAATAATGAAATTTTAACATATTCTTCTTTAAAAAATCTTAAATCCAAGTTTAATGTTTGAAAATTTTGTGTATTTATAGAAATCCCGATATTTCTGAGGTTTAAAAGTAATAAAATCAAGAGACCTATTTGCATAAAATGGAACAGCCGTTTCATAAACGAAATGTTTGATAAAGGCATCTTTATCATTTACAGGATCTCTGCAATTGGATAAAATTTTATTTTCCAAGTCATAATTTCCATCATCTGTTAATTTTGTAGGAGGAGGAATATAAAAACCTTCTTCATTGTATTGTAAAACATAATCATCCTTTTCACTGCTTACTTTTATTTTTTCCTTCGAATTTCTCTAATTGGCAGCACTTTTTGTTTTAGTGGAACTTCTATTTTCACTTTTATCTTGCAGCTTGCATTAACCCCTGAATCCGCTTCTGCCTACAGCCGAACAACTCGTAAAATAGAGCTCATCTTATTATGATAGTGCTTCTCACGTTCAAAACATAGAAATAAAAGGTTAGATTTAATGTGAATATCTCAATTAAAGCTTAATCAAGTGTAAAGACGTAGCACAATTTGAACTTTCCACTCAGCTCACGAGCATGAAATTGCTCGGAAAATTGCACTCTGTGAAAAGATTTGAGAAGCGCCCTCTAACGAAAAGTTGGTGTGGTAGTCCAGCTTTGATTCGTTTAGCTTCAGGAAGTCAGATACTACAAACGCACGTTCGCGGTGCTCCCGCCCAAGGGAAATTTTTTTCCTACACCGGCACCTGTTAGTTTGACAGCGCATCAACAACAGTAAGTTACTCGCTGAAATGTTTTATTGCGTATAAATTTTATTTCCTGTAACAATTCTAAAAAAGCATAGAATTCTTTTATATTCTTTAGCAGTGAATTTATTTATTAAGTTAATATAAATACTGATCTCTGTTAAAAATGGCCATGCATTTTCTTAAGAAAATTCGAATTTTACTGTGTATTAGCGCTGCAACTTTGTTCTCTATTAAAAACAGCTCTCTCTCTCTGTGTATATATAAGAAAGAGATAAATACAACAAAGAGTAGTAAACTATCTAAAGGAAGGCACAAATTAAAAACTTTTTAAGTGAAAAACTTGGAAAACAAAACTAAAATAGTTTCTAAATCCAAGTTTCGGAATTATATTTGGATGAATTGCAAAAGATAATATTGAAAACAAATTCTTTTGCTTCAAAATGAATTAAAAACAGCTAACGTGAAATTCTCTTGTTTCAAAATTTTGACGTCTTATCTTTCTCCTATTATTAAAATATTCAATGATTAAATTATGTATATATTATCATTCGAATTCCATCGGAACAGGTTATATCTCTATGTATGCATTTTGAAAATTTCTTAAAAATTTTCTATGAGTATATTTGCATTTAATTACATTTATTTTAAATTTAAAAAAGAATTTCCTTTGAATACTTTATTTTGCAATTCATCCACATATCATTCAGAAAACTTCCCTCTTGAGAAAATTCTTTCGGCTGCTCTTTGAGAAAGACCAAAGAATTATCAACTATTATTTAATATTTATTTAATGATTATTGTTTTGCTTTGTATTATTTTATTTTTATTTCAGGTTTGTTTTTATTTCAAATTGTTTTTAGTTGCTTTTTAAATCTGTGCATTCCTGTTAGATAGTTTAACACGCTTGCTTCGCATTACTTCTACATATTTTATCTCTTTCTTATTTCATTAATTAATTTAATAGCAGTTTTCAGGACACTATAATTAATAATAGTATTTATTAATTAAATATCCTAATTTTGGATCTTTTAATTATCTATATTCGTTATTAATAATTTGGTACTAGTATTAACGCAACCAGGCCAAAATTCGCATAAATCAAATTTGGCGACCCTACTTACGGCAACCTTATGTTAATTTATTAAAGCGAGGTGTGCGTAGTTCGTAGATTCGTTCTTGCCTAACATGTCCATCGTAGATGTTTTTTTAAGTATTACATGTCTGTGTAATGGATTCTTGTCTATATTTCGAACTTTAAGAAATGTCTCCAAAAACGCGGTTTTCGCACATGCAAAAACTACATTTAAACACACGATTTAAGCTAAAAACCGAAACAAAAAAATTTAGCTAAAAAACGAAAGTTTCTAACCAAAAATATTTGACAAGAATCCTGTACACAGCGACATGTTTAACTTAAAAAAAACATCTACGAATGGCACAATGTAGGCACGAACGAATCTAATTACGCACACCCGCTTTAATAAATTACATAAGGTTGCCGTAAGTAGGGTAAACAAAATAATATAAAAAACTGTATAAAAATTATTGAATTAATAAACATTTCTTTCTATTCTTACTTTTTTACTCAATCTTCAAATAGCGCCAACCTGGTTGCGATAAACGTTAAGTACTATAATTTACTAAGATATTTAATGTAATGATTATACTTTCCTGGAAATTTAAGAAACATTTAATCTCTAAATTAAGGTAAGGGAAACGGTGGGAAATTAATAATGCATTTTAAACTAAGTATTAAGCAAATGGTTAAATTTTACTTGAAATTAAAATTTTTTTTAATTATGAAAACTTAAATAGGCATATTAATTATTAATATTTAAATGTCTCAGATAGACTCATCAGGAGATAATTATTTGAAACATTTAAACCTAAAAAATTAAGGAGTATTGAACACACGTTTCATCTTGCTTGAGTCATTTGAGTGCAATAATAAGGAAAAAAGTAAAAATAATAATAAATCAAAATAATCTCAAGAACCTTTACAAAAATATTTACATCCTTCTCAAAGAGTCAAGAATATACATTCTACCTCTCTCTCTATGTATATATATCTACCTCTCTCTCTATGTACATATATCTACCTCTCTCTCTATGTATATATATAAAGAGAGAGTACTTAATGCATATATGTAGATAGATAGATAGGGAGAGAGAGAGAATATTCTTCGAAATGTTTTCTATTTCCTATGCATTAGGACACTCAATATTACTAATTACTAATTACTCAATATTACTAATATTACTAAATACTCAATATTCAATATTTCTATTCTATTTCCTATGCATTAGGACACTCAAAATTACTAAATAGTGTACATGCGATTCAGTTTTACCGGTAAAATCAAATGTGGAATTTTCTGTTTTTGTGAAATATTGAAAAAGACGGAAAGGAAAGGCTTTACTTTTTTAAAGTTCGGAAAATTACAGTCATATATTGTGGCATATATTGAATAAAACTGCCAGCATCTCTTCTATCATAGGTTTAAATTTTATACAAAATCTACTCCTCCCCACCCAAAAGAAAAAAAAAAAAAAAAAAAAAAAAAAAGCACTAAAAATATTCCATCATTTCGAATTCCATTATCTGATGTAAAATTAATTTAAAAGAATACTTTTTGAAAGCTATGAAACCTTGCAAATTAAGATTTGAGAGAAGTTCCTAAATCGAGCATTTATTTTGCTTATAAATATTGTTTCTTGTAACAATTCTGAAAGAACGTCAGACTTGCATTATATTCTTCCTTTCGGTTTATTCATCCACATGTCAATCTAATTATACTCAATGGCTCAAATTTTAAAATCAATGTAATATTCATATGCATTTTCAGTTACGATTTTTTTTTTTTTTTTTTTTTGCGCCTAAACGAAATTACTGAATGTTATTATGCGAGTACATGCTTCTCAATCAAAGACAAAATCAGAGCAGAAATTTTGATTTTCTTGAAGCACTATGAACGGAAAAGAAAAATGAGCGGAAAATTTTTATTTTTTGTTAATATAATTCAAAATAGTTTTTCAGCTGGCCAAGCGGAATAGTGGCTAGTGACGCTGATTGCCGTACCGAAAGACCCGGGTTCGAATCCTAGAGAAGGCATGGATGTTTGTAAATATATAGTGTCAGTGCGGCATGGGGGCACTAAATATGGGGCGAGCCGAAAGTCTTCTCGAGTGGTTGGAGGTAGGAGAAGAGAGGTGGAAGACCCTCGAACCCGTCCTCCCGAGATGCTCTCTCTTAAAATTGAAGGGGGGGCGGAATTGAGCTGAATTCGGGCTGTCACCTATATGGGGTCGAGGCTGTTGCCAACGACAGGCGCATTTGACCCCTTGACACGATGAATGTCGTGTGTTTGTGCTAACATTTGGTCAGACAAGTGAGACTGGGAACATCAGCAACAATTTTTTTATTTCTATTTAAAAGCATGTATTTTTAAAGCTATAAAAGTCTGAAAATTTATATTTAAAAACGTGATGTATATGAATATGTATTATAAACCGTCTTACAGTCAAATTCCGATTAACCGAGGGTAGAAACATCGATCCTCTCGTCATATAGTGTTTTGGATTTGCAAATCAATGGCTTAATAATCACAAAGGCTTTTAAGAGCAGCATGTTTTTAGGATTCCGTTAGAGTGTGAAGTGTTGCTATAATTTTTTTACATTTTTTTTATCGGCTTGTGATATCAGTATTCAGTTTTCTTAATAAGATTATCAACTTTGCTTGTTATTTTAGATCTGTTTATTAAACATGACCCTTTTCGCACTTACGATACATCAAATTCAACAACAAAAATCACAAAATCTTTAAAATCAATATATCTTTATTTTTCCCAATATACAGAGTGTTAATTGCTGCCATACTTTTATATATTCGCTATATAATTTGCTATATTAATTCTTTAAAAAATAATACATAGCAATTATATTCGATGGCAGCATCCTTTTATTTGAAAAGTGATTATTGGACACAAAAATGAAACGAACACGGAATTGAGAACTGAAGATAATACATTTAATTGCTTCATAACGAGAGCTCGTCTTCATAATGAGCGTATTCTTGCAGCATTTAGCATAAATCCAAGAATAGCGTTTAATGGTTATAAATGTAATATGTTCTACTGAATAACATACCCATCTTATATACCATATTTGCAAATTATTGATTACTAGCAGCTTCACTGCCAGCCTTCGCCTGGCTTTTAAATGTACCGGGAAAATGGCTGAAGGAAACACCAAACGTTAAATTTAAAAACTGCGTAGATTTTTACTCTGCTGAACAACTTCATAAAAAAAAGTGATTGCGTATAACAAAATTACAATGAAGTAAGCAATATCCCTTAATACAAATATTAATTATCCTAATAAATAAATTAACCAACTTCCCTTTGCAAACTTTTAAGAACTCAAATGGTATAAAGGAGGTTAAGAGCTTTGTTTCCTAAAAAAAATCACTCAAAACTTTTCAATATCTTAAAAGCAGGAAAATGAGCAATAAATAACATAAAAGAATACAAAAAACAAAAATTCTGAAAAGAAAAGTATAATTAATAATATTTTATCTTATAATTTCAAGAGAAAAAAATTACAATGAAATAAGCTATATCCCTTAATACAAATATTAATTATCCTAATAAAAAATTAACCAACATGAAATATGCTAATCTCTTACAAAAATAGGACATAAAATACGATGAAAAACTTGTTGAACCATATTTCTAAAAGATGAAACTATTCAAAATGATGCGACTTCATCAAAAATCTATCAACAACAATAAGAAAGGAAAAATTGTTGCCAAATCACATTTTTAAAGATGTGAGATGTGCGAAGTGTACTCGGAAGCTTCATTTAAAAATTTTTTTAAAATACAAAATATTATCATTTTCCAAAATTTTTTTGTAAAAGCAAGTCGCAAGGATGAAAGTTTAACGTGTTCCAAAAATCAAAGAAAATAGACTGCACGTTTTAAAAAATAAACTTTTTAAGGAAAAATCCCGTTGAAAAGGTGTTA